CTGAGAAACTGCTATACTGATTTCCAAAGTGGCTGTACAAGTTTGCACTCCAACCAACAGTGGAGGAGAGTATTCCTCTTACTCCACATCCTCTCCAGTATAGGCTGCCATGAGCATTTTTGATCTTAGCCATTCTGACAGGTGTAAGATGGTATCTCAGAGTTGTTAGGACTTGAAGTTTCCTGATAGCTAAGGATACTGAACAATTATTTAAGTGTATCTTGGCCATTTGAGAGTCTTCTGTTGAGAATTCTTGGTTTAAATATGTACCCCATTTTTTAATTGGATTACTTGGTATTTTGATGGTATTTTGACAGCCCTCTGTCAGATGTAGGGTTGGTGAAAATCTTTTCCTATTGTCTAGGCTACTGTTTTGTCTTATTGACTATTCTTTGCCTTACAGAAGCTTCTCAGTTTCATGAGGTCCCATTTATTAAGTGTTGATTTATTAACTAGTGCCTGTGCTATGGGTGTTCTGTTCAGGAAATTGTTTTCTATGCCGGTGCACTCAGGGCTACCTCCCATTTTCTCTTCTACCAGGTTCAGTGTAACTGGATTTATGTTGAGGTCTTTGATGTACTTGGACTTCAGTTTTGTGCAAGGTGATAGATATTGATCGATTTGCATTCTTTTACATGCAAATATCTAGTTATGCCAGCACCATTTGTTGAAGATGCTTTCTTTTTTATTGTATAATTTTGGCTTCTTTGTCAAAACTCAGGTGTTCATAGGTGTGTGGATTAATATCAAGGTCTTCAGTTCTATTCCGTAATCCACCAAGCTGTTTTTAATGCCAATACCAAGCTGTTTTCATTATTATAGCTTTATAGTAGAGCTTGAAGTTAGGTATGGTGATGCCTCTGGAAGTTCCTTTATTGTACAGGATTGTTTTAGTATCCTGGGCTTTTTGTTTTACCACATGAAGTTAAGTATTGTTCTTTCAAGTTTTGGAAAGAATTGTGCTGGGATTTTGATGGGGGTTGTATTGAATCTGTAGATTACTTTTGGTAACATTGCTGCCATAGGATTAATATAAGTATGGGAGATTTTTCCATATTCTGATATCTTCTTCCAATTTCTTTCTTCAAAGACTTAATGTTCTTGTTATACAGGTCTTTTACTTCTTTGGTTAGAGTTACTCCAAGATATTTTATTTATGGCTAATGTAAAGGGTGCTGTTTCTCTGATTTCCATTTATCATCTGTATATAAGAGGGTTACTGATTTTTTTTTTGAGTTAATGTTGTATCCAGCCACATTTACTGAAGGTGTTTATCAGCTGTAGGAGTTACCTGCTAGAATTTTGGGGGTCACTTATGTAAACTGTCATATCAACTGTAAACATTGAAAGTTTGACTTCTTCCTTTCCAGTTTGTATCCCCTTGATCTCCTTTTGTTGTCTTATTGCTCTAGCTAGGACTTCAAGTGCTTTATTGAATAGATATGGAGAGAGTGGACAGCCTTGCCTTGGGATTGCTTTGAGTTTCTCTCCTGATGTTGGAATTTATTGGATTTAACATTCTTTGACTGATGAATCTTCCTCTATCATATCTTCAATGCTGTAAGTCTTTTTTCATCTCTTGTACTCTGTTGGTGATGCTTGCATCTATAGTCCATTTACAGAATTCTCTCAGTTTGTGTTTTCTTTATTGTTTCTATTTCAATTTTCAAGTTTTGAACCATTTCCTTCACTTGTTTGATTGGTTTTTCTTGGCTTTCTTTAAGGAATTTATTTCTGTAAGTCAATTTTTCATTTCCTCTTTAAGGGCTCTTTGTAAAGTTATTTTTAAGGTCATTTTCTTGTGTTTCAGCCACATTGGAACATTCAGGTTTTGCTGTTGTAAGATTACCGGGTTGTGGTGAGGCCAAATTGCTCTTTTTTGGTTGTTGAATGTGTTTTTTGTTTTTGTTTTTGAGACAGGGTTTCTCTGTAGCTTTGGAACTTGTCCTGGAATTTGCTCTGTAGACCAGGCTGGCCTCCAGCTCACAGTGATCTGCCTGTCTCCGCCTCTCAAGTGCTGGGGTTAAAAGCATGTGCCACCATTGCCTGGCTGTTGAATGTATTCTTAAGCACAGGTGGAAAAACAGATGTAGTCTGGGGGGGGGGTTACAGGGGAAGGCATATATGCTCAAGCCATGCACAGTGTTTTAGTCTACTTCCTGTTGCCTCTAAGATGTAGAACTCTCTCAGCTACCTATCTAGCACCATGTCTTCCTGGCACACCATGATGACAATGGACTGAACCTCTGAAACTGTAAGCCCCCAGTTACTTTTGTTTATGTTACATTTGTGTGTTACTTTTGTTTATGTTACATTTGTGTGTTACTTTTGTTTATGTTACATTTGTGTGTTACTTTTGTTTATGTTACATTTGTGTGTTACTTTTGTTTATGTTACATTTGTTTAAGTCTGTGAAGCTGTGTTACTGTGCCTAAGACACCTGATGGTCTAAGAGTTGAATGGCCAATAGCAAGGCAGGAGAGAGAAACAGTCAGGGCTGGCAGGCAGAGAAGAGAAATATGAGGGGAAATCTGGGAGAAAGTGATCCAGGAACAAGAGAGGAGGACGACTTCAGGGGCCAGCCATCCAGCTACACAGCCAGATACAGAGTAAGAAGGAAAGTATACAGAAATAGAGAAAGATAAAAAGCTGGCAAGAAAGAAGCCAAGAAAAGGCCAGGCATTCATAACTAAGAATAAGCCTTCATGTGTGATTTATTTGGGAGCTGGGTGCTGGGCCCCTCAAAAACTACATTGTGGTTGGTCATGGTGTCTCTTCAGAGCAATAGAAACCCTAACTAAGACAAATAGCTACATTAATCTCATGAAATAACCAAGAAATTACTAGAGAAATATGATCTCAGAATCCACCAAGAGTGAAATTTGGAAGCAAAGTTCATGTAGAGTCCTCCTAGAGTTTTACACACATGAAAAGGTTAGGTCATGTTCTAACAATATAGGCAATGTAGAAGACCCATTGCCTAGCCATTGATCAACTGAATCAGGCCTTATACCCCTTTCTTCAGAACAATTAGTACTCTCAAAAATTAATCAGAGTGTGTAGTCCAGAGTGTGTAGTCTGACCAGTCTTGCCTGCACCATTCTCAACCTTGAGCCTTGGCCACATCACATACCCAGTGGACCAGCTGAGTCTAATCAGACTTCCTGATCCTAGCTTACTGCACCACATCCAATTTTTAGGCCTATTCTGAGTCTGAGAGCCCAAATCCAAGTCTAATTAGGAAAGTTCCCTGAACCCTAGCTGGCTTGCACCCTTCCCAACCCCCTGGCCCAATCTGATAAGAGAATACTATAGTATACTTTGAACCCAGCATTCAAGATGCAGGGGCAGGTGGATTTCTGTGAGTTAGAGGGCTCCCTGGTCAGTATAATTCTAGTCATCCAGAGATACATTATGAGACCTTTTCTCAAACAAAACAAAAACCCCAATATAAGGAAAAAAAAAAAAAGGATGGATTTCTAGATTCAACCAAACCACCAAAGTTAAACTAGGAAGAGATCAACAAACCAAATACTCATGATTTAGAAAGAAATTCAAATGTTTATAATAAGCCTTCTGAACCTCCTATGACCCACAACCAAACCTAGGCTCCAGATAGATTCACAGCAGATTTCCACCAACTTTCAGAGATCTACAACCAATACTTTTAATTATTTGGAAGGAAGGAGGGAAGAGAAGGAAAGGAAAAGGAGGGAGGACTTCCAAGCTCATTTTACGAAGCCAGTGTTATGTGAATACCAAAACTAGGTAAAGACACATGAAATGAAAACTGCAAGTCAGTGTCCCTGATGGAAAGGCATTTTTTAAAAATTCAAAGTGAGCTGGTGTGATGCCCTGATAGCACTTTGATACTGATGTCAAAAACATAGAGGCCCACTTTAGATACACAAAAGATAGTTAAAAACACTAGCCAACTAATTGTTTAAGAACCCTTTAGTAATGGGTAGGCTAACACCTCCATAATGTCTCATGGTGCTGAAGCTCAGGAGTATAGGGTTTTTAATTACAAAAGCCACAATCACATCAGTGCTGGGGGAGCAGGTGTTTGAATAGCCTTGTAAAATCTCTCTTTTTGCAGAGCTTAGCAGTATTTCCAATATACTACATGGCATTTATTTTTGATTTATATTTCTAGTTATTTTATTTTTATGTTCATTAATTATTATGGTTGATAGTCACAAACAGTTCCAAAAGTGTTACCAAGGCAGATGTAGGTATTGGGGGTGAGGTGGGGTGGAAGGCTGAGGAGTATCTAGGCAGCCACAAAATAAGAGTCAGGCAAATCAGCACATTAAATTGGCTATTCTAGAGAAAAAGCTGTTATATGAAGACAGTACACACACACACACACACACACACACACAGAGAGAGAGAGAGAGAGAGGAGAGAGAGAGAGAGAGAGAGAGAGAGAGAATCCTAATACATTTTTGAGACTCTAAGGAATGTTTAATCAAATGTCTGTCTGCAAATAGAGTAATAAGACTCGGATCTCCACTTTGTCTTCAGTAAGCAGGGCCAAAGGCGGCAGTTGCCCCAGCCCTCTTTAAAGGCATGAATCCATTCCTAAAGGCTCTTATGCTACAATCAACATCCTCTAAGGCTTCAACCCACCACTTAAATAACAAATATAAAGCTCAGTTTGCTACATACTAGTGTAAGGAGGAGCAGAGCAACTCCTGTATTCAGAAAACAGCTCTTTGAAAGTCTTTGACATGTGCTGTATACAAGTCTCACTAAAGATACTTTAACCACCCACAAGTGTGTATGGTTAGAAGGTACAGAAGAATGTCTACTGTCTTTACAGATAATTTCATTTCCCGACAGTATCCTTGATTGGTCCAAGAGTAGTGCTGTTTACAACTATTTGATCATACAGAATTCATTTTCATTTAGACATCTCATTGACAGCAGTGTATTATTTACCTTAACACTTTACTACATTCTTTCTGAATAAAAAAAGGCAAATATATGACAGCATCTACTATCATAAAACAAACTAATGTAAATTTATTGTGTGGAAAATTGGGAAAGGACAAAAAAGATGGGTTGGTTCTGCAGTAATATAAAAGAGTTCATAAAGGACAAAGTCCAAAATCTTCAGCACACAGCATGTTTTTACAACATAGAAACAGGCCAGCCCTGCTTGCTGGCCAGCAGAATGATAGAGGCATAACTTCTCACAAGGATTCCTTTGTCAAGGACATTTCTTCCTCTCTGTGTCAGAATGGTACTTCTTAGACATAAGCCCGAGGTTTTGCTTAGTTTCCCATCGATGTAGAACAGACTGGCTGGATGCAATGTCACGACTCCTATCTTGATTCTGTAGGGAAAAAAAAATACACCCAACTCTTGTCTGCTGAGAACCAATAGTTTACAGCCTATTGCCCTCCATATGCCATGTATACATTCAGATAGGTAATTTTGATCTAGATAGTTTGAGAAAGGTAAACTTCTACAAAAACCTAGTCCATTGGTTTCCTAACAGTAGTTGAAAGAAACCTATAGATGAACAGCTAGATGATTAAGAGGGCTTCTGTAGTGAGAAATGGAGAAGGAAAAATTCAAACTTCTTTACAACAACCAGGTCAGTCTCACCTCTTCTGGCCACCTGTCTTCCCGGGGAAGCCTCTGCAACCGGTTTTTTGTCAGCTCAAGTTGTAGGCCATCGAACCTGCATTTAAACCATCGGTGAGCTTCTTCCAGATTAGCTGTTATCTGAACACAGAAATGGCCACAAATTCTTTTGTGAATGTGTATGGGAGATTTATACCTAGCTATCAGAAGACTCAAATCCTCACATGGGATCCTTGCATCGAGTCTGTATTGTACACTGAACAACCATTAAGCTGAGAAAACACACTGAGCAAGGCAATTAAAGGGTGCTCACATGCAGGCTCCTGCTTCCTACACATTCTGTCAGTACTCCCTGCATAGCCTACACCTAGTGAAGCATTGACAGAGTAGGTCTAGCAGACATGTGCTGCCAAACACTTTCTGACATTAGCAAGGCCATCATGTGGGCACACTATATTAAGATAAAAGCCCTGGACTTCTTTGCCATAATGCAATTTGACTTTTAGGAGCTACAAAAATATTTTCAGGTCTGTTGGTACAACCTGGTAACAGCAACAACTTCACTTTCTAAACCCAGCCCAACCCTTCCTCCAAGTGTTTTGTTTTGTTTTCCCCCCAGAAGTACAGTGAAAGACACTGAAATAAGTATGGCAAATGGAAGGGAACTCACTGAAAAGTCTATCAGAATAAGACAGTAGTGGGTGTTAGCTAATTGAATTATCTTGTAAACGCAGTAATGAATAGTTCATAGAAAGTAAACATGGGCTGAGAAGGCAACTCATTGCATAAAGTGCTGGCTGTGTATGAGGACCTCAGTTTGATTTCCAGAGCCCACATTAGAAGATAAGCTGTGTGTGGTGGCATGTACTTGTAATCCCAGAGACAGGCAGATCCCTGGGACTTGCTGGATAGCCGGCCTAGTCTAGTTGCTGAGTTCCAGTCCAATAACAGACCCTGTCTCAAAAAAAAGGGTGGATGGTACCTGAGGATACCCAAGGTTGTCCTCTGGCCTCCACATGCGTGATAGAGTAATAAGACTCGGATCTCCACTTCCAGGTGTCCTCTGGAAGAGCTAAATGCTTTGTCTTCAGTAAGCAGGGCCAAAGGCGGCAGTTGCCCCAGCCCTCT